ACTGGGATCTGTGCTCCTCAGAACAGCAGCTTCAGACACATAGAAGTCTCTTAGAATTAAACTGGAGAACTAGAGTCACTGCTTTGCGGTGGAAAAGAAGCCTAAGATAGCAGACAACAAGAAAACACAAGTACTTAACAGAGGAGCACTCCCTGAGCTTTTCCAGCCTCTTTTTCTAAGAAAAGGAGCCTTACATGATCACATTGCACATGTATGAAAGTGACTGTTGAGTCTTCCTGAATAGCTTCAGAGCCCACTGTCCAATTCTGACCAGATTGAGCAAAAATTCACAAGACTCAGAGATAAAATATTCCTACTGCCCACAAGACAACAGGTAGCTGGATAGAGGTGAGATGCTGCTAATATTCTCACTGTGGAAAAAAAAGTCCTGTGAACTTGGGCTTCTATAACCATTCTATGATTCTATCAGATTCAAAGCTACGCAGATCCAATATGCACATCAACAGGAAATCAGATCCATCAGATCTGCCATCTTCATGCAGACACTCACCTTGGCACACGAAGGAAGATGGTGTTTCCCCAGGGTGGACTCGTGCAGTGATGAACACCACTTTCTGTTCAGCCCCTGGACGCAGGTTCGCTGCAGAAGGGGGTGGCAGGGGACAGAGGAAGAAAGAGAGATAAAGATCCTTAAACTGGGTCCCATATGCAGGACACAAAGGGCCATTAATATTAAAGCATATCCTTTTATTAAAATTAGTCATACATTATAAATAAGCACAATCTATAATTAAAGGAGAGCGTGTCACTGGGTCTCCATACCAGGCCATATAGCAGACTGCACAAGGGCTGCAAAACTAATGACATGCAGCCCAACCTGCAACAACAAAGTTAGCTCTCTTTTTAAAAACCAGGATTTACTACAGTGAGTTTAACTGCACTGTAATTGCTCTCTCGCTTGTGATAAATGCCCCCCTGGGGCGACAAGAAGAACAGTGGGGGTCCATTCACAACGTAAAGCCAATTGCTCCCTGCGTTAAACTTGGTACAAGCCTTAACAGCACCAAACGATGGTAAAGTGCTAACAAATGACATTTAATAGGCTTTGCTCCGGACGATTTTGGGAGGTTTTTTTTTTTTTATCTCTTAACTATTTGGGACTGCATCTGCCTTGACTGAAAGAAATGTTCAAAAACAATAAAGTATGGAAAAGAGACCAGGACTGAATCCAGCAACCTCCTCCAGTGAGTTCCCTTCAAATCACAGATAGATTGAAGGGAGACTTAGATCCCAGCTACACTGGATTTAACACGGGTTAATCCCCTAGTACCGAAACCACACTAATTTGGCCACTTGCTTCAGCCATAAACTGCATGGGTCAAGCAGGATCTTTTCTATTTGTGCAGCGACTGCGTTTAATAAACAGGAGATAAAAATTATGCTCTTTCGAAATGGGGTCTTATGGTTTAAAGACTGTAAGAGGTCAGGACCTCAGTTATATGTCTTATCTAGATCTGAACACGCAGCAGGGGTATTACTAAACTCAGCAGGATCCAACTGCTACAGACTGTTTAAATCTTTGTTTTGAAATAAAAAGTTTACACACTGAAAGGAGACTGGAAACTAAATCCAAGCTTTTATTTTTTTAATTAGGTAGATACATTGCATATATACCCAAACATAGACTTTTAATTTCAAAGGTGTTTGGGAGTCCTTGAGACTATACCTGAGTTATTTTTTTAGTTTCCTAAATTCTTAGAAATATTCAGTTTCTCCAATGGTAAATCACACCTAACAGCACCACAGGAATAATCGGTATATTTTTGGTTGTTCTCAGGAGACAATCTCAGCAGGTTTCTTTTTTATTTCCTTGGTCTCTCTTAATGTCCTACAGCTGCTCACCCTGTAACTCAGCCATTCATTTGTTCTTTCATACTCCAGCTTCACCACTCTGGTGTTTCTGAGCCCCAGAGGCAAAGAAATATAAGAAAGAATGTCTCTGACAAAGTAGCAGCTGGTGGGGTCAATTCTGTCTACAGAAGAAAAGTGGGAGGCAGCAAAAAGGAACACAACACCATCAGCTAGAAGTTGATGACCACCCCACATCATTTGCATTAAGTAGTGTGGGAGGGAAAGATAAATCAGCAAACCAACTTTAACGAGCAAAAGGAAAAGGCTGGAATCACTTTTGCAAGAGGAGAAGAGTTTTCCTCCTCTCTTGGAAAAACAACATTACATTAAAGGGGCAGTAGCTCAGCACAGAAGCAATGCTCAGCAACATGACTGCCACTGTTTGGAGCTGAAACAGCTCCTTGGTTAGGAAATCTTTTGGACAGATGATTAGTTTGGGGGGTTTTGTGGCTTTGGTTTTGTTTGTTTTTAATTACCACATTTTTTTTTATTTATGCTTTACCCTTCATAACAGTTATTAAAATCATTAGTCAGTTCATTCTCCTCTGGAACTTAAGAAAACTTTCCCAATTCAGGGCTCAGTGCAAAGCTACTTGGAGTCAATGGGAGATGTGACACTGGGTGCAAACCAGGACTTTCCTTACCCACTTCCTTAGGGGATGGAAGAGCACAAAATTACCACCCTGCACTCAGTGCCAAGCAACTTCATTCTACCTTGGCTGACAATCCCCAATGCATTGCTCACTTTCCAGCCCGCAATGTACAGACCCCTCCATAGTACCCAGCCTCCTAGACATGCATCGCTCAAAAGGAGCACAGGCACAGCTGGCTGCCCATCTTCATGGAGCAGACACTTTCTCCAAGTTTGTCAAGCCAAACAATACCTTTATAAATCTTCTTTAAGCAATATCCTGGATTATTCATACAGAAACAATAAAACAAATGGCATGTGTGACTATGCTCGTGTATTTCTTTCTGGTATTTGGGCTGGATGAAATAATGTGACTCGTTAACATTTTTTAGAGAGTCATTTTCATTTTCTGTGTTTGGATTTCATAATGTGTGCATCTGCACGAGCACATAAACATTTAAGTGTTTCTACTAACATTTTGGAAAACATATATCTTTAATGCAGCTTGGAAAGCCTAGAAAAATCAGTAGCGCCTTCTAAATGTGAGTGAATCTGGTAAAAGTTGCTTTGGTGAGTAAAGTCTCTGCTTAAATACCAGGCTTTGTGAACATAGGGGAAGAAACTCAACTGGTAGACAAGCTTTCAGTTCTGCCCGTCCTCTGCAATCTCAGTTCAGCTGCTTTAAGAACACTGCTAAAAAGGGGACATATGAGGCAACATGGATGCCCATTAGCCAGCCCATGGCACCAAGGGCTTCCAACCAAAGACAAGTTCATGCTGAATGCCCTAACACCTAAGGGTTTGCGGTGGGGACTGTGAGCCCGGCCGTTTCGGGGCACGTGCCATTCACAGGCTGGGCTAATGGCCTGCGCCCTCACCCAGCACCAGCACGTTTAGCCCATCCAACTGGACATTCCACAGGCGCTCTTGGGAATCCTACGTTCAGCCTTGCAAGCTCGCCTTGGTCTGCACAACATCCCGTGATAAAAGGAAAGGCAAACACGTACATACACACACGCTCCTCCAAACACTCCCCTAAGCCCAAACAGCAACAGTGCTGTCCTCTCCATGGTTTTACGTATAGCCTAAAAATGAAAGAATAGACAAAAAAAGGGTAACTATGATCAAGCTACAGAAGTCAGGATTTAAAAAAAAAAAAAGATATTTTCTGTTCTTTTTTCTTCACCAGTTGCAGCAGGTGCCCGTGCCCAGGTGCTGGCATGGGGGCTGCGGGGCTGAGCTCCCTGAGGAGAGCTGGCGCCACCCCGCGCCACTCGCAGCTGGTTCTGGCTGGTTCCATCCGTCTCCGCAACAGCCTGGGCACAGGGCACGGCTCAGCCCCTCAGCCACGGTGGGGGCACTTCCTTGGAAGTGCATGTAAGGACGGGCAAAACTACCGCACGGGCAGTGAGGAGTGGGAGCAACAACACGAGAAACAGCCCTACGAGCACCAGCAGGGGAGGAGGGGAGGTGGCACTCCAGGCACCAGGACAGAGAACCCTCTGCAGCCCCTTGGAGACACCAGGCTGGAACAAATACCCACACCACCACCTGTGAAGGACCCTGTGCCAGAACACATCATCCTGAAGGATCACAGGAAGGGCCCAGGCTGGAACAGGGGAAAGCGTGAGGACGAAGGAGCAGCAGCTTGGACTGTCCACAACCCCGTTATCCATCCCCGGCACCACTAGGGACACAGAAGGAGCAGGGATTGGAGGAGTTGGGAGTGAAATCATTCCTCAGAAAATAGGGCAGGGGGGAATGTGTTGTTTTAACTTTTCTCTGTGATTCTCACTATACAAGTCTATTTTAACTGGTGATAAATCTGAATAATTTTCCCAAAAGTCAAGTCTGCTTTGCCCATGATGATAATTGGTAGGTGATATCCCTGTCTTTATCTTGACCCACAAGCCTTTTCATCGTAATTTCTCCCCCTGTCCTGTAGAAGAGGGAGCAGCTGGGTGGGCATCTGGCCAAGGTTAATCCACCAAACCAATAATGGATACAACAACTACAGAACAACATTTCATGTTTTAATTTAAACGTTACATTGAAAGTGCATCCTGTTTCCTACTTCAGGATTGAAAAGATCAATCAAAATTACAAAGATTAGAAGTGTATAGCTTTGCTCAGTAGATGCCAAAACCACTTAAGCAAAATGACAGAAAGGCACGCTCTATTTAGCCAGAACTTTGCCAGATACAAAAATGCAGAGACATATTCTGTTGTGGTACCCTTTCTATCCTTCCCACTGCCATAGCAGTGAACCTTAGAGATAAAACTTTTTGAAGAAAAAGTTTTCCAAGGGAAGAAATTTATGGATTTCTGGAATTATTTCTGTTTCATTTTCTCTTCCAGAAAGTATCTTGAAGATTGAAGTAAATATTTTCTTTTCCCTCTGAAGGCTACCACTACCATCATCATTGATAATATTTGTCTTAAGATTCTGACTGGGACCCAAACAATCTGCCACTGCATGTTATGCCCTCATAGCTTGCTACACACCCACCACCATCCTGTTGCTTTGCCACATAGAACTCTCTTGGACAAAGCTATGAAGATCTAAGATGCTAGTCAGAATAAACAACACTAACCTCTACCTATTGTGGTTCTAAAGCTACCACAATGTTGATAAACACCAAGCAAATGTCATACTGAAAAGAAAGCCAGTTAGCTGCAAGCAAGCAGCTGAAGTCTCTCATTCTGAATATCACCTGCACTGTTTAGCCCTCAACTCATGTTCCTTCTTCTCTAATGCTATAGCATGTTCAAGCCAACCACTTAAAGTAATCCCACTGGCAACAATCCCCCAGCTCTCACCCAGGAAACAGCAATTTCCATTCTTGGTTACATATTACACTAGTGCAACTGAAACAGTCCCGCAGAAAACATTTTCTACTGAAAAAAAAAGTCAGATCAAAATCTAAACCTTCACGGGAAGGCAAATTCACTTAGCCACTTTAATCCAATTTTTACACTACTATAAAAACATGAAAATGACAGTATTTGTATGTAGTACCTTAATAATAAGTATCTAGAAATTTCATGCAGAAAGGTTAAATTTATGGAATCTCATTTGCACTACCAAAATGAAGTGCTGTAACAGAATTGAGATAGAACTTTGATTCAGGATCATCCAGGATCTTTCCTGCTACCACATCCAGACCAGAAACAGACTACATAGGAATTGCAGATTTGCAGTTTCTTTAAGTCTTATTTATAGCCATGACACGATAGTGATACGAGTTCACAAATTAGTACTAATTACAAAGGATGAGCAAGTCTGACCCTAGAAGTCTACTTCAAAAAGCCTTTAACTGGCACCAGTAAGAAGAACTTGGAAGCGAATTCCATTCCTTTGCAGAGAATTCCAAATCTGGGGCAAGGTACTAGGAAAACCTTGCCTTTCTCACCTCTCACATTTCACTCCATCTGTAGAAGGCCATAAGATTCTAATCAGAAGAAATCTATCACCCTAAAAGCATATGCCCAAAAAATAATTTGATTTAAATACTCGTATATATTTTCATGAAATATGTTTATGCAAATAAATTCTGTATTTTCTTCCTGTCTCATCTACTTTGCGGTACGATGTGGACTGTTGCCAGCATTTCATATTCCAAGCCCTGTCAGTTAAAGGCTCCACGGAGGAAATCAGAAGAACTCTATTGCATTACACTTCACTGTGCTGTCTCGGCTTGTCTGTGGCCAACAGAACTGTAACATCTGCTTTGAAAGTGAACACTGATGTCGTTGCTGTCCTGCCTAGTCTCTGCTTTAGCAAATCAAATCTAAGCAGCATTTACTGTACTCTGGCTTTTCCTAAGAGTCCAGATTAGCACCTAATTCCATTTATTTTTGTTATTTCTGGTCACAAATGTCATTTCAGGTAAGAATGCACATCTCAGCAACAGAGAGTACAAAAGAACACCATTTTTGGTCACTACCAAATCCCACTAGACTTGGTGAGGTCAGATAAACACACGCTTTTCTTTCTTGCCTTCTTATAGTTTCTTTGTACTGCTCGAGCAAACTAAGTGGCACAGAAAGTAAAAACAATGCCATTTGTACCACAGAGAGGTGAGCAAAGACTGGACCGTAGTTTTTGAAAGTCAGACACCTATTCCTACGTACCTTTACCTGGAAAGCGAGGCAGCAGTATCTTGTCTCCCATGCAGAATCCATGGGAGGCTGGTTCTGTGCAGAGGGAGCACTGCTACAAGGTGCCCTCATTGCTCATGGAATGACCTCACCTACCACCATGTTCAGATAGCCTCGTCTGGAGCACAGAGGAGTTTTTTTTAGCAAAACCTCACTTGTGCATGGAACTTCTACCCAGCAATGGTCCTGCATGTAATGCTCAAAACTGGATCAAACCTCTCAGGTTCTGGATTGTCATTCAGGTTCTGGCCTGGCTCTGACAGGTGCTTAAGCACGTGATTTGTTTGATGGACTTCTGTTGTGTTTAAAAATGTGCTAAAATGTAAGCGTTCGCATGAGAGCTTTGCTGAATTGGGGCCATTTAGCAGGCAGCCTGCCTCTGAAATCGTCACAATGTTTTTAAGTTGGAGATTGTGCAACTATTATCCTTTATTGCCCATTTTATGCCAAAGTCTCTCTTTCTTTTTACATTCCCCTTAAAAGCAAAGCTATTTTGGAGCATTTAGTATTATTTAATCTCTTTACTCTGGCAGTGTAGAAATTACAGGGACCATTACAATGGTCCTCTGCGTGTGTATGCTTTATTGATGTATATGCTGACCTAATATCAAATTGGTTTTGCTTAGCTTTTCTGCTGACCATGGAAAAATGCAAATTGGGTATTATATTTGCACACTAATTTTATTGGGCCCCTGTGTCTTCATAAAAAGATAAAGTTTGGGCTAATAAAAATAAAACATTTCTGGTGCTAATATAGGCAAATGTTTATGTAGGCAGGTAACAAATTGGTTTGTCATTTAGGGGAACATAAAGAGCACTAAAATCATCTTTAGGCAAAATAGATTGGTGGCTTTTGCTTAGCTTTTAGCTTTCATTTGCAAAATCAATTTAATGTAGCACAGTGTCTCAAAGACAGGGTGACACAGGATTAAGACATTCATTGTATTCCCCCCTCCATAACTCCCCCTTATTCAGAGGCCTTGG